CTCTCATCTAATCTTTCACTACAGTGGGAGAGGGGATGTGGGGTCTCACTGTTCTCAGACTTTTAATAGCTTCTTCGGTGTTTAGCTTTACCTTCATCCCACTGCCACTTATTTCTTTTCAGGCTTCTGTGATTTAAATCTGATTGCTTGGCTCACTCTAGTTTTGGTTTAGGACTCAAGTAGATCGGTTACTACCCGCCTATCTGCTTTTCAGCTTCTGCTTTCATTCGTTTTGTTTTGCTCAGTTTATACCTAAAAGATAATTTTAAAAACTTTTTTTTTCTATTATTTTAGTGTGGCCATCAGAGGGAGCAGAGCTAAATACATGAATTCAGTATTTAGTTTTTCAAAGTAAAGTAGAATGTTCTCCATAGAATTGAGAGTTTAGATTTTTTGATTTTTCCCCATAGTTTGTATTTGCCTCACTATCTATATATAGATAGATGTATGTATATGTATATCTATATGTATACTTATCTATTCATATACATATATGTACAGCTTTGTCTAAGACAGATATGTAGAAACACATACATTTATATATGTATATAGATATATATAAGTCCTATCTTTCTCTAAGTCCTATCTTGACTATAAATATATATTTATAAATATAAATATTTTATATATGTATATCTATATATACATACATATTTCTCTAAGTCCTATCTTGAATTTCCTATTTTCCCGATTGTTTTGGCATCACTTATTTAAGCTTCAGCTTCTGGGTACCTCGGTTTTCTCTTGAGCTGGAAGGCACTCATAATGCTTCTTCCATATTTACCCAGAAGAGAGATTGTGCCACTCAGTCATTTGGGCAACCACTTTGTAAAACCACTATTGTGTATGTGACACTGTCAGAAGAGAACACAAAAGAAGTGGAGCTTACCCTGAAGAATGTATAGCTTCTTAGACAAAGTAGTGTTTTACTGTCTTTTAACATGACAGTTCTTTAAGTTTTTTAGGGAAAAGGAACAATGTACGTTGTGATTTTTGTTACTTCATTTGTTGACTTGGTGGCACTATTTTTTGACCTTTTTTAATTTCATGTTTATTCATAGTGTTTCCTCTTTATCATGCACCTTCATTAAATAGGAAATCACTTTAAAAAAAGAAAAAGGATTCACTTTTGTAACTGTTCACTAAGCTTTTGAATCCCATGGTCAGATTCAGGTAAAAGAAGAGAAAAAAAGGAGCCTCCTATACACTTCACCCGGGATAACAGATGCCTCTTTTCCACTTCTTAGTCAACCTGGAAAGCTGGGGATCTGTTTGAATTACTTAGAAAGGCTTTTAAATGCCATTGGTTGTTAAATATTGTTTCTTCTGTATAGAAAGTATGAAGGGTATTACCCTGGTAAAATTTATGGGAAGTATTGTTAGGTTCAGAATAAGGTGAAGCTAATTTAAAACATTCTGCATCCAAAATGAAACATAATTTAGACTCTGATGTACTTTGATTTTGTCAGTGTTCCAATATTCTTTATTCCTTCGTCTGCCTCCAGCTGATCATAGGGGCTAGATTAGTATACCCACGAAGTCTTTCTAAGTTGGGTTTTCTCAACTTCAGCATCATTGATTGACATTTGGGCCAGATAATTATTTGTTGTGGGGGGCTGTCTTGTGCATAGGATGTTCAGCAGCATCCCTGACCTCTACGCGGTAGATGCCAGTAGCAATCCCCAAGTTGTGACAATCAAAAATGTTTCCAGACACTGCCAAATTTCCCCTGGGGGCCAACATAGTCCCCAGTTGAGACACTGCTCTAAACTCAAGTTCATAAATGGAACCTGTTTCTCTTTTCAGGAATATCTTGATCATATTTTTTTAACCTTTAACCTTTCCTCCCAACCAATTCAGCTCCATTCCTATCCAAAGGAGAGTTGGTGTTGCTTGGTGGCTAAGAATGTAGTCTTTGGAGTCTGACAGACCTGGGTTTGAATCCTGATTCCGCCGTTTCCTCATTGTATGATCTTGGCCTTATTTCCTTATCTTTAGACATAGAAATAATAGCATTGTCTTTCACAGAGTTGTTGTAAGGATTAAATGAGGTAATGTACATAAAGCCCCTGGCACACAGCATTTATTAAGTGGTAGAGATTAATAATAATATCGTACTTTGCACTCCTCAGTTGCTCAGCACCCCCCCAAACACACACACGTGTACACACACACACACATCCACCCAACTTCTACTCTGTAATTCTCTCTCTCAAAGAAATCTCATGGCATCACACTTTCAGCGCTCTTCAACTCCCTATGTGGAAACAGGAAGCTCCCACGGAGTAGAGCATGCACTACCTGGCTAGAAGTAGTGTGTGTAGGACTGGAAACAAGCTTGAGCTCTGGACTTCCTGGCTTCCCTGTTACGAGAAAGGATTGGACTCCTAGACAGTTGCTTTGATGGAAAATTTGAAAATTACATCCTTCACCTTTTATACTACTTCCCTCCTGTGGCAATTCTGGTTATACTTGATATGGATTTTATTCCTTCATAGACTCTTACCTGTATTGTTATGAAGGCTTACAGTCTTCATAGGGTTGTTGTCTAGATTGTGGAATTGCCATAAGGATGGAATGAGAAAATATGTGTGTGTAGTACTTGGCATAAAGCCAGGAATATGCTAAGTGCTCAGTAAATGATAACTGGCATTGTGATTGCTGCTGCCACTCTAGTTGTGGTGAGAGGGTGTTTGATCTGGAGAAAGCAGAACCGACAGATCCCCAGAATACCAGGCCAGTAGAAAGAGCTTTTAGAACCTTTTCTTCTTCCCTGTTTTACATCTGAAAGGTACAGAAAGCATAGGCTACTCCATAGGCTGCACTGTTTCCTTCAGGGTTCCTGACCAGCCTGGGAACTTTGCCCTTGGGGTCTGAGAGTGGTGGTGTTGTTTCCTATCTACTTAGTATTACGAGGTGACTAAGTGATAGAAATCACCTGGCCTATATTAAAGAGCCATTATTACAAATGATAATGCATAGAAGTAAAGACATGATGGATAAACATAAAGTTATTTCAATAAGAGGAAATGTTGGTTCAGTTCACATATTGCTTTCCTGTGCTTTGGTGAGGTCTTTCATCTGTATTTGCTGAACCAAACACTTCTGGATTTTTCCCTTAGGGTTGTGAGGATATTGCTTCATGGGGGAGAGGTCCAGCTGAGTCTGTTAGTTTGTAAAGCAGAGAATTGACCCCATTGGCTTGACCTCTGGGGGTGGGGGTGGGCGATGTCTTGCAGGTCATGAAGACATATCACATGTACAATGCCGACAGCATCAGTGCTCAGAGCAAACTAAAGGAGGCGGAGAAGCAGGAGGAGAAGCAAATTGGTAAATCGGTAAAGCAGGAGGACCGGCAGACCCCACGCTCCCCTGACTCCACGGCCAACGTTCGCATTGAGGAGAAACATGTCCGGAGGAGCTCAGTGAAGAAGATTGAAAAGATGAAGGAGAAGGTGCGTATGCTCCCACAGCTGTAGATGCTGGGAAGTTACATTCTGTAAGGCATGACTGACAGAATTTCCCAGTAGGCACCAGGAAGAGCAGACTAGGAAGCTCTGGGTTCTTTTAGTGCTTAATGACTAAAAATGAGTCCTTGCTCTGTGCCTTGGTAGGAATACTAGATATTGGAAGAACTGGGCACATGAGCTCCATGCTTTTAACCTCTAGCAGAAACCCAAGAAACAGTAGTCACCTTTCCCAATACATTTTCCAAATAGAGCCCAATATCCTATTGCTTTGGAGGGGTTGGGGGTGACTGTAGATCCAGGGTTTGGTTTCAGATGTCAGGTGTTTGGGGGCAAGAGTAGTGGTACCTCCTTCAGAGTGGCATTGCAAGAATGAAGAATGATATTTGAAGACAGAATCAAAGTGGGGCACGCATCTTAAGTAGGGAGCCTCATTAACCTTTCCTGAATTGATCTACATTATGCCCTTGAATCTCATTAAACAGAATTAGAACCCAATTTAAGGCAGATGCGCACAGGGAGTAGCAGCACAATTGTAGTTCTTGAATACACTGTACTTTCATCCTTTAGAGAACAGTCTCCCCTTAAAAAAAAAAAAAAAAGTAAAAGTGAACCTCTGTTCCTTTTTTAGCGCCAAGCCAAGTACACAGAGAATAAGCTGAAGGCCATTAAAGCCCGGAATGAGTACTTACTGGCTTTGGAGGCAACCAATGCATCTGTCTTCAAGTACTACATCCACGACCTATCTGACCTTATTGATGTAAGTGCTTAAAGCCAAGGGCCTGAGGGCACCTCTTTTCTGGTTTCAGAATCCTGGTCAGACATTCTCCGATACTGTTGTTCAGGAATCTGGGACATTTTGAGAACAATTGTAAAGATAGCAGCCATGATCCATCGGCTGGCTTGCCATGTACCAAGTACCAGGTGAAACACTTCACACTATTCAATCCTCACTGCAATTCAGGAGGAAGGCATTGTTATCAGTATTTTTACAGATGAACAGTCAGAGAGTTTAGATTTCTTACTCTGAATCGGTTAACAAATGACAGAGGCAAAATTTGTACCTTTGCACCTAGGTCTGATTACTCAATCCAGGTTTATAACCACTATGCTCGTGTCTGCCAGGAAATACTTTTTTTTTTTTTTTTTACCTTTTTTTTTTTGAGATAGAGTCTTGCTCTGCCCCCAGACTGGAGTGCAGTGGTGCCTTCTCAGCTCACGGCAACCTCCGCCTCCCAGGTTCAAGTGATTCTCCTGCCTCAGCCTCCCCAGTAACTAGGACTAACCACATGCACCACCATGCCCAGCTAATTTTTATATTTTTAGTAGAGACAGGGTTTCACCATGTTGGCAAGGCTGGTCTTGAACTCTTGACCTCAGGTGATCTGACCTCAGGTGATCCACCTGCCTCCGCTTCCTAAAGTGCTGGGATTACTGGTGTGAGCCATTGTGCCTGGCCTAGGAAATACTTTATTACATCAGCTTACTTCTCTTGCACAGAAGTGAGTGGCAAGAACTTAACTAAAGAGTTACAATGCCATACCTTACATTTGTATAGCACTTAAGGTCTCTCAGTGTTATCTCATTTGATCATCACATCACCATTATGGGTAAGCATTTCTATCTCCATTTGCTGAATAAGGAAGCTAGGGGTCCAGAGGACTACGAGACTCACCTGTCCAAGGTTATGCTGAAAATTAGGGTCCAGTCAGGAAGGTGTCCAACTGCCCCAACATCTGGCCAATTTTTTAAAATATGCAATGCAAAGGTGATTGAGGAAAGCAGGTTAATAGGCACATGTGTTTTGCAAGAGGCAAGCACAGGGATAACTGTGCTTTTTGTCTTTGGCCTGTGAGTTATTCTTGGCCTTGTTTTTCCTGCTCCTTCCCCTTACGGTTGGGTCTTGTAAGCCCGCTCACCTACAGATTCCAATCTGGCCCAGGTCCTCAGCCACACCTAAGTGAAGCTATGTAATTACACCCTTTCTCATCTCTCCCTCCAGCCGTCAAAGTGAGGCATCTGGGGCCTGCTGACTTAGCATCCCAGTCTCTGGGGCTTCAAGTGTATCTCCTCTCTGCGGGCTGCCATTTGTTTCAGAGTCTTGGTGGCAGCAATTGGGCCTTGCAAAACTCTGGCCAGACCACTCATGCTTTCCCACCTTGGTTTCTCCACAAGCAAACTTACTACACCTCATAACATCATATAGGGTTCGGGTCCAAGTCTTGCTGTTACATCACTGCCTGGGTTATCTAAGCTTGTCACTGAATTGTTCTGGAAGCCAGCTTTGTTTCCCATCCCTCCCAACCTTTTCTAGCTAACTGAAGAACTGTACTAATTTCCTGGTATTGAAATCTGGCCTCACATAAGAGTTGGTTGGGGAACTTTTAAGAAATACAGATTCCAGTCTCCCTTTAGCCGAGGATTTTTGATTCAGTAGATTGCAACCACTTAATGCCCTAGCTGTCATTGTCTCACTGGGTTAGTGGAGCCTTGGTCCCTGTTCTGGTACCTCTTTGTTCTCTCTGCTTGTTGATGACAATCTGAACACTGTCCTTTAATGGAGGTCAAAGCCCTAAACAAGATCCTTTTTCCTCCTCAGGGAAGCAGCTCCTCATTGTTGGGAGAGAGGCCTGTTCTCAGCATAAGGAAGAGAATCCATTCTTTCTTATGCACAATTTCAGCTATTTATCTCGCATTTAGTAAAAGTTCAGACTGTGTCATCTGCCACACCTCTACTATTGGTTTGCCCTCTTCTCTTCCCCGCCCCCACCTCACACTCAAGCAACTTCCCTACCTTTTTACTAAAATGCTGATCTCAGGGAAAGGGAGGGGCTACTGCTGTATCAGCCACAACCTTTGCAAAGCATAAATTCTTCCTCAGGTATAAGCAAGTATTTTAAAATCAGTCCAAGAAGTGGCTGGGCACAGTGGCTCAAACCTGTAATCCCAGCACTTTGGGAGGCCAAGCGGGGCAGATCACGAGGTCAAGAGATCGAGACCATCCAGGCCAACATGGTGAAACCCCATCTCTACTGAAAATACAAAAATTAGCTGGGAGTGGTGGCACGCAGCTATGGTCCCTGCTACTCAGGAGGCTGAGGCAGGAGAATCACTTAAACCTGGGAGGCAGAGATTGTAGTAAGCCAAGATCACACCACTGCACTACAGACAGCCTGGTGGCAGAGGGAGAATCTAACAAAAAAAAAAAAAAATCATCCCAAGAGCAAGGTATTTTGTACTGTACTTCCATCATTAAAAAGAAAAAAAAAAAGTCTGTTCAGAGCCTAATTTCACAGGATGTGGTATGAAATGCCATTGAAAAAGAAGCTGCCCTAGTACTTGGCAGGGTGTAGGTCTGGATCACTGTGATCGAAAGACTACATAGGTAGTAATAAAGTTTCTCATGTTTCTTTGCTGCTATATTTTAGTTGTGTCTTGTTTTATTTTGTTGGCTGCTTGGGTTTTTGTTGCTGTTTTTCCTGAGATGAAGACACATTCGTTACTTTAAAAAAAAAAAAAAGTTGTATTATTCTGCTCTGTAAATGTTCAGAAAGTATTTATTTAGAGAGAGGCCAGGTACTCAGTGTCAGGGGTACAAATGGAATATAGTAGTTCTTGCCCTAGAGGTATTCATAGACTCTAAGACAGCATTTTTCAAACCATCAGTCAGATTCATTAGGGAAGTCAGGAAGTCACTTTTATTGGTGTAACCTGTGTTTTTCAATGAATAGACAAGACTAGAATAAGAAAGAAAATATTAGAGTACGTCACATCAGTAAGATTATGTGAAACTTTTATGTTAGATATGTATGTACACACTTGCACATCTGTGGGAGGTGTGTGACAATAGAAGGTGTGTTTCTTATTGTGAGTTGGGAGCCAAAAAAATGCTTCTGAGCCACTGTACTATGAACAAAGGAAGATCCCAGTCTCCTCTGTTAAGTTCTGTGAGAGCAGGAACCAGGAGTTTTCTTTACCTTAGTAGCCTCCATGCTTAATATTTAGCTGAGCACATAGTGTGTTTACTGAAGGAAGAAAGGAATAGAAAGAGAAGGAAGATGATCATCTAAGCTAAGATTGGTTTTTCTTTTTGTACCTTTCCATATTGTTTTGATGTATAGTTTACATACAGTAAACTTAAGTATTACAGTTTCAAGAGTTTTGACAAATTTGTCAAATATTTGATATAGAATAAATATTTTTATAAGCGATATCTTTCCACGGGACAGGTGCAGTGGCTCACGCCTGTAATCCCAGCACTTTGGGAGGCCAAGGCAGGTGGATCACGAGGTCAGGTGTTCGAGACCATCCTGGCCAAGATGGCGAAACCCTGTCTCTACTAAAAATACAAAAATTAGCTAGGCACTTTGGCGGATGCCTGTAATCCCAGCTACTTGGGATACTGAGGTAGGAGAATCGCTTGAACCTGGGAGGCGGAGGTTGCAGTGAGCTGAGATGGCACCACTGTACTCCAGCCTGGGCAACAGAGCAAGACTCCATCTCAAAAACAAACAACAACAAAAAAGAGGTATCTTTCCATTGCCTCAGAAGGTTTCTCTTGTCTCTTCCCAGTCAGTCCCCCACCCTGAGGCAACCAGTTATGATTTCTTTCAACATAAATTAGTTTTGCCCATTGTAGAACTTCACAAAGATGGGATTATCCATTTTTGTATCTGGCATCTTTTGCCCAGCATAATGTTTTTGAACTTTGTCCATGTTGTTTGCATCTATCAGTAGTTTCTTACTTTTTCTTGCTGATCTATGCAATAAAAAGGGCCAAAAGGATGCAGTTAGAGCAGGACTAAGTGAGGAGCCTGGGATATTGGCATCCTGATCTTAACAGTATCCAGAACTTGCTTTTACACATGGGATGAATCCTGTTTCAGTCCATTGCCATCTGTGTCATATACGCCCTTCTGCCTCCTTCCTAGTGGTTTTGAAGCCAAATGTGTGCATAAGGCATTGAGGATAAGTGAAAAGAAGTTATTTTTGTTGATGCCATTACATTGACCAAGGACTAGCCTCTGACTTCTTTTTATAGTATAGTGTAAGATTTAAACTTCAGACTGTAGGAATCCACATGAGGCATCTGCCACATTGGGGAAACCTTGACTTCAGGCCAAAAAGACGCTCTGAGCTCATTTGATAGCGTCTAAGAACTGTAGGCTCAGTGGAATGTAATTTTCCTCCCCCGTACTCTTGTGGCTCTCTCAACCCAGGAGCAGATGGATGAATGAAGAACAGGGCATTGTCCTCATGCATAGCTGGAGTGTTGTGAGTGCCGTGTACATGTGTAGAAGGTCTGTGACACCATGTGCACCCAAGTCTGACATGAGGGAACTTGGCTGTTTCAGTAAGAAATATCATTAAGGACAGTTATTTTTTTCTTCTGTATGAACTTGAAGTGGCTGTTGTGAAACACCCATTTTTCTTTTCCAGGCCTTATGGAGTCTCTGGGTGAGGATATCAGCTGGGAAAGGGTTAATGAGCTATCAACTCAAGTCATCATACATCTGGATGGGTGGTCATTAAATTCTTATAAAAATTTGATTTCCCCTGAGAGATTTTTCATCAAACATTTATATAACTCAGAAATGGCCAGGGGAGCCCAGCGTGGCTACAGAAATCAGAAGCCATGGAAAGCATGCTTTGTCCCCATTGTGGGCAAAATAATGCGCTTCCTCTACTTACTGGGATTCTCCTCGGAACAGGGTGAAATATTCAAATCTCATTTACCTAACCTTGCCAGATATTGCTTCTTTGCTAAAGACTGGGTTTCTGGCTGTTGCCTTTGCAGGTATGTAGATAGTCAAGACTCTGCAGAACCTCTTCTGAATTTTCCTGGTAGGCTAGAGGTGTGGAGGAGCCAGGGGCACATTGTGACTCAGACCCTCATTCACTGGCACAGAGAAGCTACAGAACAGTTATATAAACAGAGACAGTACACCAGCCTGGGAAAACTCCCAGCCTTCCTTTGGCCATAGAGTGAGCAAAACAAAAGGCTTCACTGGCCCCATCTACCCACTTGACTTAGGTCAGTATTCAGCCTAAGTGTTTTATTTCCTGAGAGGCTGGAATTTGTACTTGTGCTGTCAGTCACTGAAATTAAGTGCCTACTGTGAGCAAGGCCTATTGCTGAGGCATGTAAAGAAGGGTTAGAAGCTAGCCTGGTTTGGGTGATATGACGTGGCGAGTCATAGAATGAAGAAGTATTCCTTGTCATATGAGAGCTACAGATTAGTGTGGTTCTAAGTAGAGGCCATGGTCATTGGAGTCCAGGATTACAGAGCTGGCTGGCTTCCCAGAGGCTGAGAATTTTAATTTGGATCTTGAAGATCTGGTCCAATTCCAATAGGTGAGAGGCGTGGGAAACATTTAAGGAAGAGGACATTCTGGGAGCTGAAGAGGAGAGATCAGTGGATTTGGAGCTATATTAGTATTTTTTTAAGTGTCTACATGGTACCAAATATATGTAAATATATTGCCTATTAGCCTACACAACCTATGAGGCTGGTGTTATCCTCATTTGAGGCCCAAAGGTATT